CCCCACATTCTTCAGCAAGGGGGACAAAGGAGTTGGTGAGCTCAGGTGAGAACAGATGGCGGGAGGCTGGAGTTCGGTGTAGGCGGGCCGGGAAGGCTGTAACTTCTGAGTACCTTGGCCAATGGGGAAAAGGAGAGGGCGTCCCTCGGTCGGGAAATTAGGATAAAAGGGGGGCTGCGTCCCCCAGCAATTGGAGAGACCCCACAGGGATATGCCCGGTGGACTCTCCCTTTATTCGAATAAAGTTTTAGGACTCCTCTGTCTCCTTTTTGGACATTCAGTTCTTGACAGCGAGATTTTCCACACACACTTAAAGCTTTGATGAAGCAACTGCTGTGTCCACTTTTCAGCCTGTAAAAGAAGGCAGAGGAAGGAACTGACTTTGTAAATATTTTCAGGTCTGAGTGAGTTCTGTATGCAGAAGGACTGGACTGCAGGCCATGGAGGCTAAATGATTAATGGTTTCTTGTGCCTTCACCTTGTGCAATTCCAGAAACAGTGAGACAGCTTCACTTAGCAAAGTTATCTTCGGAAGGTGTCTTAAGATGTATAGGAATGCCTCTCTCAAATGGGGAAAAGCAGGGTAATAAGAAAAACAGAAAGAGAAAAATAGAAAGAAACAAAAAGAGAAAAAAAAAGGAGAAAAAAAGAGAAAATAGAAATATTTTATTTTCATATTAAAATATTTAGAAAGTATGTAAAACAACAGAAAATAAAAAAGAGGATGATTAGATATCACAGGCATAGAAGTAATTCTATTCATCTTACCTATGGTAACCCTGCATTAATGTATTTTTCTAAGCAAGTAAAATGTAACAGCCATACAGGGTACCATACCTTGTTAAGTTTGAACGGCCTTTCCATCGCCTCTCTTTGTCGAACTGGGCCTCCCGGTTGCCTTTGAAATAGATGGCATTCACCAACACAAGTCTGGTCGTTGAATCAATCATCCCCTTGGTCATCAGGCTCTGAATTTTACCTTTGAGATACGTTCAAAGGAAAACTAATTTTAACAGCAAGGCATACATCTGATTACTAACAAATATAGTATCTTTTCTGTAATTGATATGTGATAGATAGTATCAATCTGATGGCGAGAGCTCAGGATTTTTTTTAAATTCTCAAGTATTTTATCTTGAAATAGCAGTTTATCTAAGCCTTGACGGCCTTTAAATGCAAGACGGAGCTTTGCAAAATACTTTCCTTCCATCTTCTCTTCTACCCAGCCATTTATTTGTTTTTATTTGTTTTTTTGTAAACTTCTCCTGCTGTGTACTCCTCATATTCCCCCTGGAGAGGGTCACCTGCGCAGCCGGGAGAGCTCTGTGTTCTGCTAACAACTTCTTCGGGAGCAGACACGTCATTTCAAAGTCACATCATTGTCATTTCACTTTGCACCGTTTCCCGTTCCTCTGTAATAGACCGCAGACAAAAAACAAGTCAGTTTCCTCTTAGGATAATGCATAAAGTCTCTGCTCAGCATTGGTAATGCTACTTTCAAAATTAAAAGCTAAGAACCTGGTGAGATTGCACCAAAACCACAAGACAAACTAAAGAAATTTCTAAAATAACGACATATATTTCTTCTCCGTTTAAGTGCCTGGGGTTTATCTTTTGAAGCTCACTTAATGACTGGAATGGACTATATTATTAATATACCACATTTTGATATATGGCAGCTCATACATAAATACATAGAAACATTTAGTAGTGAAAATATCCTAATATTAAAGGTGCTGTGAGTCAACTGACCCACATAAATTTCCTCTAGAATGACTAAGAAACTGCCTTCCTTACCCAGGATGTGATGTTTGCTTTGCAGGAAGGGCAACTTTAATGATATGAGCCAGATAGCATCCAAATGGCAGAGAGGTTTTTTCTTTTTTTTTTTTTCTTTAATTAATAAATGACATGAAAGGGCTATGATGTGCAAGCTGCAGTACAAAGTCCCACTTACTCAGCATCTCAGGGTGAAGATACATTCTTGGGAATTTTATATTGTTAGAAAATAGGTCTGCTTAAGAGATAACAAGACTGAGACTGAATTCCACCTTCAATAATTGCCTCTTCCAGTAGAAGAAATTCATGCTGGACTCTTCCCATCTAGAAGCTCTCTGCAGTTCAGTTTGGCATAGGGAAGTATATTTTCGTGTAGCTACCAGTTCCCTGCTAGGAAAATTAACTGCAGGTAGTCTGACAATTTTTGTCTTTAATGTTACCATCTTCTAGATTAATATAAATATTTTATCTAGGGAAAATATACTTGTATATTGTGTTTTCAGGTGGGTGACATAACTAGGAGTAAATTTAGGTTTCTGATTTTATATTTAAATTTCTGAGGTGACATCCTCTCATCTTGGATGTTGTATCTTTAGCTCATTGAAGTTATACTTTCATCCTTCGTTCTCAATTAAAACGTCTCATCCTGAAAATTACCAGGCTTTGTGCTTTGTGAGACATATGGTCATTCAGTAGTTCTGAAAATAATATCCTTTGTAAAAGCATTTAATATTTTTCAATTATTTATCTAATATTTTTAACAAATGTCAAATGTTACTAATACTTAAGTCATTTAATATAAGCTGTTATTCTCTCCCTTTCCCTTTAACTGCTGGCCAATGAGTTGTTAGATTTACAGGGGCGGCTGATGGTTCACAGCAGAAAGCTGTTCAGATCCCATAAGCTGTTCCTCTGTGACCAGGCTGGTTTTTGTCTGTATTCCCACTTATTCTGAACCTCGTACAGCCTCCTACTGGCTTTCTTTGGAGCTGTAAAATGTTATTTTTGTACTCTGGAAGAATAATTTTTTTGCAGACATATGAAAAAGTCTTTATTTATAGCTTGAAGACAAGATTATTATACAGTTCACACTTTAAAAAAAAAAAAAAAAAAAAAAGATTGTGCCCAAGTCAGAACTGAGGTTGTACAGGTAAATGCCAGCAACGAAAGGACACAGGCAAACAGTGACCAGACTTTGCCAAAGTAGCCACATGTTTTCAGCAACTACAAGACTAGTAGACTATAAAATTTAAAAACTGCTTTAAAGACCTCCCCGAAAGATATAATTCATGTTTTATCCTCCTCATACAACAGTAATGTTACATGTTTTCTAGCTCATGACTGGAAGGGGTTATATTGCTTAAATAGCTTAATCCTTTCTCTAATAATAGATGTCTCTGAACAAATGTAGAAATCTGGGCAAGGAGACATACGGACTGATGTCCGTATGTACGGACATACATACTGTGTCTTACATGCACAGAAGTATTTCCATTGCTAGCCCAAGTTCAAAGGAAGATTCTTTTGCCCACAGCCAAGATTTTCCTAGGGATTAAAAGTGCTCTATAAGACCAGGAACTGCAGGACGGAGTCTCAGTGAAAGCTACCAAGGGCTCAGGGACAGGAGCATAAGATTTATACATCAAAACCCAACTTGTCTGGGAGCAAAGCTTTCCCTGATTGGAGGAGGAATTAGGAAGCAGATAGTAAGTTCTCCTTTATGGAGAAGTATATCTGCCAAGGAAGAGTATGCTTTGTGTCGGGTTGTGTCGGATGAAGAAAATGAAAGGATGATCAGCATTGAAATCCTCTTCCATCACCATGCAAAGCATGGCAAAGCCAGCAGTGGCAGCTGCAGCTTCTGTGCCTTCCTCATTCACTTCTACAAAAGCCTTGTGGACGATTTTAGACACAAAGAGGTCACGTGCCTCTGACATTCCTGACAAGTCAGCCTTGCCGCTGTCAAACACATTCAACAAGCCCATAGCAGATAAATGCAGTTTAAGGTCGTAGCTTTCTTCTAGCTTGAATTTTGGCAAATGCACATTGACATCAGTGGAGTACAGATGCTGTGGACGGGTCCATTCCTGAAGCTTCTCAAAAGTGAGCTGCTTTTCCAGCTAGAATTGCAAGCAGAGAGATCATCAGCTATTGCTAGCGGAGAAATATCTCAATTCCCGTAACATTTACGGTGCTTTACAGAACACTATTCAACTACAAAGTCTCTACAGAAAAATGACTGCACTCATATCGTTTCTAGTACCTCACAGATCAAATGAACGCTATTAAAATTAGGGAAATTGGTGCAGTCTCCATCTAACATGGAGGTTTATTTCTGGTTGCACTTTAGGGAAGGGAGTAACATGTACCGCAAGCAACCAAAAAGTTATTCCAATGGTTTCATCTAACTCAGTGTAACTATATAATTAACAGTCAATAACAAAGGTAATTATCAGAGATCTCCACGAAGCTGACAAGTCCCTGGTCTTTTAATGGTAAACAGCCTCACTACTTGAAGGCTAAGAAAATAAGATTTTCAAAGTTTATGATATTCCATAAATAACAAAATAACATAAATAACAAGGAGGCAAATTAAGACTTCTAGTTAACTATCTTTAAGTTATCTCCCTCATAGATGTGCTCTGCAAGCCAAATATCACACGCGTGCCAGCTACAAAATCAGAAAGCTAACTCCCTTCCTCATGCAGTGCATGCATGTATTTTCTTACAAAAATATTCACAGAGCATTATCTAAAAATATGCTTGCTGGATAAAGGAGCTTTAAAAGGTTCATTGAGGCTTTCATTTTGAATGGCTTTAATTTTAAATAACTGCATCAGGTTGGAAAGGTCACCTCCTGCAGCCCAGTCGAGTCGTCTTCGATATTATTAGGTAACAAGATGATCATACTAAGTTCTCGTCCATCATAGGGCAGCTCTAAAATACGGGTCTTCATTTCAGAGATGTAACCAAAATGGAATTTCTCTTTCTGATACATCATTTTTACAGTCTTTTGTTCATTCTGGCTGGTTAAAAGGTAGAGAAAAGAGCAGTTAACAGTAATTTGAGAAGTGATAGGGAACACCCAAGCCAAAAATCAAATCTTTAGGTATTCTACTAATAACCAAGATCAAAACAAATCTTGCAACCCGCCCTTCTCCATCATATCACATAAGTTAAAAACCTTCTTCATCAGATTTCTGACAACAGGGTTAATTGTTTTTTTTTTTTGGAGACAAAACGATATACAAATGCTACATGACTGTTTGGTTTTCCAAACATTAAATAACTGCATTCAAAATACAAATGCTAAGTGACTATGTCTGGTTTTCCTTTGGTTTCTCTAGCTCAACCACTGCAGAAACTGGGACAGAGTATCTTTGACCTGCTGTGCCTTTATTTGACTCTCCTGTCTTTTGCTTCACTATCAAAAAAAAAAAAAACAGGGAGTGTGTTAAAGTCAATGAAGATCAACTCCATTCAGCAGAAGGCAGATGACTATATACAATACCTTGTAAAGCTGTTGCATAAATGTAATACAAAGCAAGAGAATGGGGCTCAACTAAAATGCCTAATAACTTGCTAAACTGCCATTGCATATAGTCACAGTCTACAGCAGGGCATGAACAGGTAAACTCTGCTCGACATACGTTCCTAGTTTATGCATGGAAAGTCTTCCTGATACCATTTCAATAAACACTACAAGAATAAAGAGCTTGTTGAATACAGAAAAATACAAAAACATATGAAAACTTTCGGCAGAACTGAAAATATTCATGGAAGTATTTCCATTTATATTTGCTTTTTAAATCTGATTTGTAAATTAAGCTTAATTTCAGGACCAATATTATTTGACAATTCCATTAGATATGCACTACCAAGATGGATCCATTTTACCTTATTTAACCAAAATGGCATGTCAGCAGTATTAGCTTCTTTAAATTTCTTTGCCCAGTTCCCTTTGAAATAAATAGCATTCACCAGTACAAGCCTAGTCAGGTTATTAACTGAGCCTTCGGACAGCAGATTAGGGATTTTACCTTCAGAAGGAGAGGGGAAAAAAGTCACAACAAAAGCTTACATGTTGACTACATATGAAACATCCCTAATGCCATAGCAATAATAGAAATGGGAAACTCTATTTCTCTGATAAAAAATATACTCTAGGACCAGTCTTTTTAATCCATCACACTTTTCCGTTGTACACACTGCTGTCACTTTGGATATACAGTAATTTGATGAAAAGATATTGTTTTCAGTTTGAACTGTCACATGTTCAGACGTTCAATCTCTGAAGATTCGGTTCTCATTATCGATCTAGAAAGAAGCCAATGAGGACAACTCACTGCAACTAACGACACGAGAGCTAGGGTATACCTAAATTTATGATCACTGGATGTAGAAGCATGTATGTTATTGATCAGCTTACATGAAACAATTCCCTAACTCATGGGTATAAACCTATTTTCAGGTGTCTCTTCTGCATTTATTGGCCTTAATGCACAAAAATGGAAACATCACTGAACCTATGTAGCCATTTAAATGTCTTGCTTAGGTACTCTCTTCTTGTGTGTCTAAGTCAAGCAATTGAGTATCTCAGGGCAAAATGAAACTGCTTTAAAAACAGCAGGAAATAAAAACTATTCCTACTCCCAAGACATAACCAAAATAACTTACCTGCAGTCTGCTCCTCTACCCACTTGTTAACTTCCTTTTGGGCTTCATCATAAGCCTGAAGAAAATCAACTGTAGCCAAATCAGCTCCATAAAATCTCCGAGTATTGGCCAGGAAATCCTAGATTTTGGAAGGATAAGGAATAGCTTTCATTGCCTATAGATAAGAAAATGTCTCTTTATGATGCAGATAATGTCCAGGTCAGAGAGTCCATCACCGTCCCAGAGGTGGGGTCCTACCACGGCCCTGCTTTCCGTTCGTGTCAGAGCAAGCCTCCTAGTGCATCTGCCACACGTACCCGCAACGCGGTGCTCGCTATGGGCGTTCTGCCCTGTCACTGCACTGAAACCAGCTGCCACAAGATGCCTAGAAGCTGCTGACAAGGGTATAAGCAGTGCTCTTGCCCTCAGAGGGCTCTTCACGCAAAGGTACAATCTTCTCGTTAAGGGACATGTTGGGGGTTCCCTCCCAGATAAATAAGATGGTTTCAACAATATACCTACTATGGGTAGGGTAAAGTTGCACCCTAACACCGAAAATCATTAAAAGCTACTGGCAACAGACTTGGATTCCGCATTGAACGAGTAGGATGTTATGAGAGTTATTTTCCTGCTCTGAACTGAGGCAACTGCCTATTCACTTGGGCCTAAGAGCAGCAGAACTACGTGAAGAAAAGACATTTTCCTGAGTAACATCCTTTGGTAAAGATGCACAGGTGCACACAGATATGGACATGCATATGCACATATGTGACAGTTCAGCCTGCTGCCCAGCAACATTTACAAATATGCCTATATACAGAAGTATTTTTACTTTACATATATCCAAATGGCTGCAAATACATCTTTTTAACAAATCAGGGACATGTGAGTTGCACAGCTAACTAAAGGAGAGCCAAAAGTAACAATGCTTACATTTACATCTGTTCTAGTTTTAGTTGTATTTTTTTTTTTTGACATGGTGTGTTCTGTAGATAGGAAAGGAACTGATGGTTGAGTTTCAAAATTTCCTACAGGGTTCAACCACGCAGTTACATTCTGCACAAACATACCGGCAAAAAACTGTACGACTTCTCTCCAAAGAGACGACTGGCAAGACGTAAGAGATAGGGAGCATCCATGTGATTAATATCAGCAGTCAGAGTCTGAAATCCTGAATGAATATCTTTGACCTGGTTCAAATGAAGTATCTGAAACAGAAGAAATCAACCAGCTGCTGCTAATGCTGTTTTTAAAACAATGTACATTATATCTATAGGATGTGTCTGAACAGTCAGGTAGCCAGGCTGAAGAGCGGGAAGAAAAAAAGAGGCTGGGAGTTATTAGAGATTTCAGTAAGCCTAAGAATCAATTAATCTGTTTTTTAGTGTTAGCTTGCCTGTATCAGCAATAGAGAAGAGAAAACCTAGGCAAGGACATTTGCATTCAAATTTATATCATATTTCTCAATATGGAAATCTGCTGTGGTACATGCACTGAATGCAAAGGAAATGTCCTCATTCTATCTCTGGGTTTAGCTCTAGTCTAATTGCCCACAATAAGTGAGGCGATGAACATATGAACAGTTGAGCAAGAACAGCAACACCCTGCAATAGGACTGTAACCACAAAAACAAATTTCTCTATGATCGTAAACAACCCTTGACAGTTTATCAGCCACTGCCTCCTTAATAGACATATTTTCCTAAGCATTAGGGTACGAAAGCATGCATTACTGAAACTCACTGTGTTGGAATGCATATTTTTCAAAGCTTTTTTGTATTATTTCTGCTCTCAGTATGTTGATCCTGGGTGGGGCTGTCAGTTTGGTTATATGGTGTATATCTGCAAAGTCTGTTTGTGAAGTAATGAGAAAGTAATTTTACTGTCCTATTCAGTAAGCCCAGCATTGCGTAATAGTATAGGACAGTTCCTCCTAAAGTCCACAATACAAAGGTGAAATTATTCATAGACAAATATATCATGATAATTGCAAACATAATTCTCCCATGCTTCTTCACATGGACAGACAGCAGCTTAACAAAATGAGAAGCAGTAGTGACTGAGCTCCTTTCATGCAGCAGGCCTCAGGGGAAAGTAGCACACTCCCCTGCACACCGTTTTTGCCTGTTGTAGTCAGTTCTGAGAAATCCTTGACCCTTAAAAGAATAATACATTTAAAGACAGATGCTATTTGCTCCAGATTTCAACCAGGCAGTGCAATGTGGAAGGGCTGATGAAGTGAGTTCACAGCAAAACTGAAAGTAAACTTGTTTTTTTTAAAAAAAAACTATGCCTGGCTAACATACAACTATTATAAGAATAGGATCAGCTCCTTAAAGATACCTGGGGCCCTAGCATCTATTGCAGTCTTAGATATTAAAAGGTTTTGACAATGGCAATTGCGTCAACTAAGCAGAGCTGTATTATTAATATTAATTAATAATATTAATCTAATATTAATATTAAAAGACACATATTTGAAACATATCTGATGATATTGATATGGTTAACTCTCCAAGAACTGAAGAATGGCCATGGCAAGATAGAAAGAGAGCTCTGAAGCAGGGCAGGCAGAAGATACTGGCAAAAACAGGTCAAAGAAGACTCAGGGAGCATGACAAAATAATATTACATTTACTATTCTTTCTTTTTCTTTCTTCCAAAAAAACAGAGTTATCTATTTTAATATAATAAAATAAAGCAAAAGAGAAAAAATGTTTGCTAACCTTCAGCATCTGGGCCTCTGTGTTACCTCTGGCCCCTAAAACGACCATGGCCAGAGCAGCAGAAACACTGATGGGTGAGAAGAAAACATTTCCTGTTGGGTTGGCCTCACTAACTCTTCTGAACAGGTCGAGTGCAAATCTGCAGTTGGCATTGCTCAAGTTCTCCATGGTTACAGCTGAAAAATAAAACATTCAGTAAGGACTCCAGGAAACACTCTACAAAATCCAATGCTTAATGAGTCATAAAGTAATTTGTTTAATCAAATATGTAGGGATAGTGAAGATTTTACTGTCGATGAATCATCGTCTTTCATCCAAAAAAGAAACAAAAAGTGAAGTCACAGACACACTAACTTTGAAGATATTATAACCAAAGAAGTACTTGACTTCTACCTTGAAATGGGAAGCATGTGCACTGGCAGGATTGTGAATTTATCTCTCTTCTCCACAAACCCAGCACACTCAAGAAAGCTCCGTCACGAAGCTTTCTTCCAGTTCATCTACCTAAACCCCATATGGAGTCTGTCCATACAAACTGCTAGGAAATAAGGGAGATGTAAACACCTTTCAGGAAGCTGCCTGCCTTCAATGAACAAACCATGCCATGTGAAGGTGCCAGTGCTGCCAAATGCTTAAGTACACATTTATTTTTAGCAGTATGTGAAGCACCACTATTTCCACTATACCAATCTGTTGAGAAGAATCCAAGCTACCTGCAAACTGCAGTGATTAAGCTGAAAATGCATGGGAATCTTAATGGGTTTGTGTGTAAATCCCAAAATGTATGGACAGTGGCCATGGTTTTGGTTTAACTGAAGGCAGTCCCAGCACACTCAAGAAAGCTCCGTCATGAAGCTTTCTTCCAGTTTCTTCCAGTGGCCATGGTTTGGGTTTAACTGAAGGCAATGCAACTGCCAGTGAAAGCAGAGGTGAAATGCAGACCAGGGCTGATAAGCATAACCCGAGCACAGATTCATTTTGGTGGGAGCTTCACCACCCAGGCAGGCCAAGGCTGGATGGTTGAGGTTGGAAAGGACCTCTGAGATCATCTATTCCAACCCTTCCATTGCTCATGCCAGCTCACCCAGAGCATGTGGCCAGCACCTTGTCCAGGTGGCGTTTAAATATCTGCAAGGATGGAGATTCCGCAACCTCTCTGGGCAGCCCGTTCCAGCGTTCAGTCACCATTCCAGCAAAGGAGTTTTTCCTTACATTCAAACAGAACTTCCAGTGTTTCAGTTTGTGCCTGTTCCCTCTCATCCTATCTCTGCGCACGACTGAAAGGAGTCTCACCCCATCTGTTTATACCTTTGCTTCAGGTATTTATACACACTGATAAGTTTCCCCCTCGGGTGTCTCCTCTGCAGGCTGAAGAAGCCCAGAGCTCCCAGCCTCTGCTCAGAGGAGAGACGCTCCAGTCCCTTCATCATCTTGGTGGCCTTTGCTGGAGTCGCTCCAGTAGCTCCATTTCTCTCCCATACCGGGAAGCCCAGAACAGGGCACAGCACTCCAGATGTGGTTGCAGCAGGGCTGAGCAGAGGAGAAAGATCATCTCCTTCAACCCCTGGTGATTCTCTTCCTAACACACCCCACGACACCACTGGCCTTCTTGGCCACAAGCGCACACTGCTGCCTCTTGGTCCATGCTCAGCCTGCAGTCCCACAGGGCTCCCAGGTCCCAGGGCTCTGCAGAGCTGCTCTCCAGCAGGTCACCCGCCTGCCTGGACTGCTGTGTGGGGTTGTTCCTCCCTATGTGCAGGACTCTGCACTTCCCTTTACTGAACTCCATGATGTTCCTCCCTGCTCATGTCTCCAAGCTGTGGACATCCCTCTCAGTGGCAGCACAGCCCTGTTGTGCATCAGCCTCTCCTCCCAGGTGGGTGTCATCTGCAAACTGCTTAGGGGGCTCTCTGTCCCTTCTGCTGGACACTGATGAACAAGTGGAACAACAGCAGACTCGGCACTCACTGCGCCATGGGGGACATCTCTAGCTGCAGGCCTCCAACTAGACTTTACTCCACTGAGCACAACCCTGAGACCTCTGCCAGTCAGCCCGTCTGCTTTATAGTATATAGTACAAACCCTCCTGTCTGCCCAGCACAAGATGCCCGCTTCTCCCTGCTTGCTGGCAGCGTGACTTGTGCTGTTTCTAGCTTCTTTCCTTGCAAAGTTTCGTTTTAGACACCGACACCTCGCCCATTAGTGTTCAGAAATCAGGGGGCTCCCCAGCAGCACCATTACTGTGGCTGCCCCGGGAATGAGTCAGTCCTGGAACCTCCTTGTTGTCGGCACAGCCTTTCTCCAGGCAGTCTAAAACATTATCGAACTTAGTATCTGAGCCAGCCGCCTGACTGGAAAAAGGTGGCTCCGTCTGCACCAAGCCCTATCCTGCCAAAAGAGACTTTGCTTTAGAACTAAAGGGACTCTTCACGCGGCCGCAGCCCGCGCGGGCGCGCAGGAGGGGACCCTTTTCACCCATTCCCGCAGCAGTCACCCCGAAGGGACCCCCGGCGCTCACGCCGCCCTCCCTCCCTCCCTCCCGCAGCCTACCTGCCGTGCGCGGAGCGGTGCGGTGCGGAGCGGAGCGGTGCGGAAGGGCCGGCCGCGCCGCC